CGTGATTCGAACGGCAGAGCTGCCCGCTCCCCGCATAAAGCGCGTGGCCATGAGCGCGCGGGCGCTGCTGCCGCCGCCGCCGCTCCCCGCCAGCCGCCGCCACCAGCCGGGGTACAGAGGTAACAGCCTCCCCGATCCTCCCCCTCCCCTGTCCCCGTGCACCTGGCTCTGAAGGGAGTCCCCGTCTACGCTGTGTGGATAGTGCTCAGCGTCGGCATAGGACCCCAACGTTAGGTATCATCTTGGAAAAATAGCCGGGTGGGGGTGAGGTGAGTTGAGGTGGGGACAGCAAACGAGCCTCAAAACCTCAGAGTCCCTTCATTATTGCCTTTTAAATCAAGCTTTCAGTAGCGAGCCAATTCATCCCTTCCAACCAAGATGATTTTGTTCGTTTAGATTGAATAGTGTTTTAGCCAATTCTGCAATATCTTAAGCATGTAACTTTTAGCACAGCTTCGTATTGAAATCGGTGGCACCGCGGATTCACGTGAGTGTATGTATGTATGTATGTATCTGCTGAAATATTTGTAGGGCAAGTGCTTTCAGTTCTAGCATTTTGTTTGGTGCCTCTAGCACACGGGTGGGGAGTTACCTTGGCTGGAGGGCTGCTTAACAGCTTTGGTGGGCTGCCAGGGCTGGGAGGGTACACCTCCTGTCAAACTGTTAAGCCCTGCCCCCTGGTTGCCGTCTTGGGATCAGGTGTCCTACCCTTGACTCCTGTCCTTTGCCAATGGAAGTGCTTCCTCTTGACCTGTGTACCCGCTTGAACCAAACCATTTGGTGTTGTTTTCTGCCGGTCTTCCACTGCCTGGGCACAGGTCCTCTGGGCTACTCACTCACATGAAGTCTCCCTTAACTCCCTCACTACATCTTGATCTCAAAAAAAAAAAAAAGGGGGGGGGGATAGGGAGGATCCTGTGATGGTACAGACTACTGTGAGCAGTTCCCAGTCAATGGTGTTTCCTTGGGCTCCGCCTCCCCTACACCCAATCCACTTGCCAACCAGATCTTGATGGCTCCAGATGTATCAGTTCTCAGCAAGGTGTAGCCAGGGTCTTTCTTTGCCTTTTTGTTTTCAGTTACCCCTCCTTTAGGATAGTGATGCTATAATAACTTATTTTGATACCCTTATTATAATTTGATTGTTCAGTCCAATACATCTATATCATGATGTAGATCACCTGATTCCCTAAATTCAGTCACTGGCCCAAAATATAGATATAGCAATTAATGAATAGAAAGAATAAATAATGATTCCAAACTTAAATAATGATTAATTCATCACGTTAATCTTCGCTCACATCGATTGCGTAGCATCAATTAAGCAAGAAGGTTAGTAAGTGGCATGGGAGAGGGGAGGAATGGCTCCCGTTTGGAGTGATTCAAGGCGTTTCTTCCCTCCTTTTCCTCTGTGATGCTGTTGTTCCTGGGTCCGTCTTGCCAAAAAAAAAAGTTCCAGGCTTCTCCTATTCCTTAGTACTGGAGCTTGGGGGAGGAGAAAGGGGGGGATAGTGAGAGAGTTGAGGAGGGAGTGGCACCAAGACCTGTAGTAGGATGCAGGAGGAAGTAGCTTGCCCCTCCATTCAGGGGGCTGGAGGGCATGGGGGGCAAGTAGGCAGGGGAAGGCTCCCAGATGCAGAGCTAGTGCCCCTCAGCCCCACTGGTGGGGCAGGTGTCCCTGATCAAGGGGGGGCAGCATGGAGTAGGGCATATACCTCCCCCTCCTCATCTCTAGGGGTGGGGGCTGTACTCGAGATGGAACCCCAGGGGACCTGCTTGCCCTGCACCCATGCACACATCTCCCTGCCCCTTCCTCCCTCCCATTGCTGCACAGAGCATCAACATTTCTTGTTCTTCCCCAGCTATGGTGAGGGGGTGGGTGCAGGATGACAGCGTGGTAGGGTGGGCATGAGGGCAGGAGCAGGAGGCTCCTCGAGGGGGGCTGGTAGGTGGTGGCACCAGGTGGTGGAGAGCAGGCAGCCTCTGTGGCAGAATAACGTAGGGGCTGGGACTGCTGCACGAGTCTACACGTGGCAGCACAAGAAACAGGAGCCCCCCTGCAGCTGTGAGTGTTTGTACCATGGCATTGCTGGCATGGCACCAAATAAAGCCCTTTGCATGTTGCAGAACTTCATTTAAGCAAGTCGTTCTCTATGCTTCTTATGTTGACTATACATCTATGCAGCTCCACCAGCGCAAAACAGTAGAAGTGTTAATATGGCCTTTACCATTGTATTTCAGATTTGGTGTTGTCATAACTCCCTTGTGTGCTCTCCATACAAATTCCTCAATCCCTGCTGTCAAAAGCAACTGCATCCATGCCACAGCAGCAGTAAAAGATCTGAAAAATCTCAGGCAGGTGAAGGGCACGCAATCCCGATCTCTTTTCCTTGCTAAGAAGGCCCCGGGATTTCTTTTGCTTAGTGGTTAATTTAGCAAAAGCACTTTTGGAATATTGTAAAAGCAATACTGAATGTATGCAATGCATTTCATGCAACACTAAATGGAAAATGTTCAGTGTTGATATCAAGACTCCTGTGTATATTATTAACAAGAGAATTTCTTGAATTTCTAGTGTCAGAGGCATTATTATATTCATTCATCTTTTCATTTCATTTGTTTTCTTTTGTCTTTTAGAGCAAAGACGACAAAAGGTTGAAGAATACCTGTCAAGAAGAAAGACTTTTTCTGGCTTGTTCACACGGCAGAAGCAAACGCACAACAGGTTAAGATCACTATTTATAATTGTATCAGGGTGGCATCCTCAGGGGTGGTCACAAGCCCCTGGAGGCCCCCCCCAAAAGTCCCTTTTTTCCCTGCTTGATCTGAGAACAGTCTCCCCTTTGCATACCTGCCACACCATCATGTCTCTTACGATTATAAAAGGGCCTGGGGCTTCCCAGACCTGGTCTTGTTCTAATGACCACTTGGTGGCTGTGGTCCTTTCCCTCATGGGCTAATTGCATCCTTCCGTATGTCCGCTGCACCACGTCCCATGCCTTGTAGATGGCATCATCATTAATGTTTTGCTGCATGTCTATACTCCTCTTCTGGTCCCTCAGCCAGCCTCTCTCTGGGCTGCCAGGCTCTTTGGTCTCTTCATTTGTCACCTTGCTGGGCTACTGGACCCTTCTGGTCCCAGTGCACTATTCCCAGCCCCTCGCTAGACAGCTGGACCCTCTGGTCCTTCCCATGCTTTTATTTCAGGGTGCGCTCTCCTAGCCTTTCTCCATCAAGGGGTAATTTGCAAGGCAGAGGGGGCTGGGGTTTTAGGGTGCTCCAGACTCGCCTTTCCTTGGGGTTTGGCCCTGGTGGCACTTTCTACGGGCTGCTCTGCTACAAGCAGTTGCACCATCATGACCCCAAACCCCAGTAGGGTGCAGTTTTTTGTCATACCCAGGACAAGCTTTGGCCCTGGTCTCGCTGGCTGTCATGCAGCTCCCTTCTGCACTCAACTCTCACTTTCCTCCAGGCTACCTCTGGCCCTGGCTCTCCTGCCTCCGGGCTCCCTGGTCTCAGTACTGTCTTGGACCCTCCTTTACCTCTGGTCCTGTCCCAGCCATCTTTATTCTGGGCCTCAGTTTCTCCAACCCCTTTCTCTCTGGCTGTGGCCACACCTGTACCTTCAGTCTCTCCTAGGTCTCTTCCATCTCGGGCCAGTTGAGAACTCCAGGCCCTCTCTGGCTGCAGTAGTCTCGCACTGCAGCTGCCTCTGCTCTTCGGCCTCTCTGGGCCCTGGTCCTGCCAGCAGGCCAGTGAGATTCTCTGGTTCGCTCTCTCCACCACCTTCTCTTCTGGGCCCTCCTACTCTTCAGATAGCCCTGGCTTGACCAGGGGCTGGGGTGAGTGGAGACAAGCGGGGAGCCCCAGGGGGTTTGAGGTTGCAGTGCAGCCCAGCGGCTGCAGGCTGCTGGCATTGGCCATTCCTGGGGCCACTGCAGCAGGGGCTAGGGCGAGTTCGGGCAAGCTGCGCTGCGCCGTGCTGCGCCCCATGCCCCCTGGGGCTCCGCTTGTTCCCACTTACCCCAGCTCTTGCTGCAGTGGCCCCGGGAACTGCCGACAGTGGCTGTGGAGGAAACTGTCAGTGGGTGGAGGGTGTGGGGGCTGTGGCTCTTGCTGCTACGTGCACCCCAGGAGGGCTGGGGGCCTCTTCCTGGGGGGTGCCCCCAGATCTGTGCTGGATGAGAGCAGGCTGCCGCCCACCCCGAGCACCAGGAGAAATCCTGTGTCCCTGCCAGCCCCAACCTACAACAGCAGCCTGTTCCTGCCTGCAGATCCGGGGGCACGCGGCCCGTGGGAAGAGCCTGGTACAGTCTCCCAGCCTGCAGCCCTTCTGAGGTGTGCATAGCGGCAAGAGCGGTGGCCCACACCCACTGACAGTTCTCCCCCACTTTGCTCCTTGCTGTAGCCCTGGGAGCGGCCAACACCACTTGCCTGGAGCCCTTGGGCTGTGCTGCATCCCGTCCCTTCCCTAGCCCTAGCCTCACTCCCTCCCTCCCTCCCTCCCTCGCTGCTATAGGAACGTATTTGTTACCTTGTAAACTGGGTTCCCTTTATGCAAATTTGATTTATGCGCAGTTTTCTGGGAACGCATGTACTGCATAAATCAAGGGTAACCTGTAGTAGTGCTCATATTGAGTTTAATAGTTCTATTTGTACTTCTTCAGTTAATTTATGCCATGGTTTTTGTGGGGTTCATTTGTGGGATCTCTTGCCTATCAGTATAGGTTGAGCATAAGACTGAGACCTAACACTTAGACTACAGTCGTCCTTCATCCTTCATAATTGCTGTGGTAAAGTCCCATGACCTGATGTCTCACTAATGTAAAAATAGTGACAGTAACTAGTACAGTCATGACAATATTTGACGCATCAAATGCTGCTCCATCTTTTGTTTGCTAAAACCTTATTCAGATAAATGCTGGTTGAAAGAAGAAAAGGTGTGGTGGGTCAATAAGATCCTCTTCTATCTGAAAATACCATGTGTGAATGCTCTAACTTGGGAACATTCAGTTGTGTTGTCAAATGGAACTTTTGCCACTTACCTTGTACTCTGTGGCTTGAAAGATTTCTTTCTGATTTTATAATTTCAAATTGAAATGGTTTATGTTGTGGCTAAGTTTCTAGTTGTGCTGCCTTGTTAATCTAAAATTTTTAGTTTTATGATATAGGGAAGCCACCAAAATGTACCTGTAGTATATCTGATGCAATACTCCTTTGAGTAACTCTTAACCCCTTGTTTCCATCTATCTTAAAAGCAGCAACAGAACTGGGAAAGTAGCTTGTGATGAACTGCAAGAAAAAGTAAAGAGCTTAAAATCTGCAAAGCAAAAAATGGTGAGTAGTTTTGTTTTTTTTCTGTTTGTGTCCTTCCCCCACCCCCTCACCCCTTCCCTCCCCATTTTAAACTGATAATTAAATCCCAATCAAACTTGTTTGGAATTTGTAGCTGCAAAACTCAGACACTTGTTGTATTTAACAGGTAATATTTTGTTTCACAATGTCTATATAAAAAAAAAAAAAGCTTCCTTAGATATGAAGAAAGCGTTAACATTACTACTGCTGTCCAGTTACTTTAGTGCTTTAGAACCTTGCAAAACTCTCTTTGAAGATGTGTGTATCCGATGTGATTAAAAAAGTGTCCTGAACTAAGAGGTGGGAAGAATGAATTAATGGAGACAACTTAATTTTTTTTAAGCATGAGGACTGTAGTTCAAACTGTAGAATAGTTTTTATTATGAGTATGGGAAGACAGGGTGCTATAACTGGAAAATTTCGACTAACCTTTTCAACACTTGGCCTCTGACTAGTTGCTTTCTCTATTCTTCTAAGTGTTTCTATTTCTTTAATCATTTATTAAGGAAGTTGAAAGGTCTTCAATTTGACTGACTACAGCAGGCTTGTCCAACATATGGCCCGCAGGCTGCCATGCGGCCTGCCAAGCTGTTTTCTGAGACCTGAGGTGCTGCGATGGGAAACTAAAGTAAACATTACTTTCGTTTGGGGGGGGGGGGGACGGGGGGCGGGGGGGGCGGGGCCGCGCCCCGCGGCCCCCAGCCAGCAGTGAGGGGAGGGGAGCTGCTTACCCCCGCGGGGCCGGGCTCATCATGTGAGCCGGGTCCTGCCGCCGCTGCCCCGAGGGCTGCGCGGCGCGGGGCTGCCCCAGCCGCGCCTGATTGGACTTCTTCTCTGGCTCTGCCTCTTGCCCCCAGCGCACAGCCGGGGGAGCTGCAGCATGGCCTGCCCCCTGCCCGCACGCGTGGTGGATGGAGGCACCAGGTGAGGCCCTGTGCGGGGCGTGCAGTTGCCGGAGCCGGGCTGGGTGGGAGGCAGGAGGAGCCCGGCCCAGAGGCGCTCTATGTCCAGCCGCCTCCTTGGCAGTTCAGGTCCTGCTAATGTAGCCTGCATGGCTGAGGATGGGGGTCTGCATGCTGCTGGAGCAGCTCGTGCAGTGAGGGGGTCCTAGGGGCCACCTCACAGCATGCAGCCTGTGCAACACATGCTGGTGTCATCTGGGGCCCACAGCCTCACCAGATCTGAACAGCCCTGGATTGGCTTATCCTTGAGATCTCTTCCACGTCTCTGCAGTATATGCCTACAATTTCTATTTAATTTTAAGACACCGCCCCCCTAATCTCAGGACTATCTAGGCCCCTGTCTCTTCCTTGGGTATTACTTGTGCTCGTCGCCTCAAGTTCCAATTATTGAAGAGGTGATGGAATTTTTTCCTTTTATCTGTTGTTTTAGTCTTAAACTGATAGGGGGATAAGCATGAGATGGGTCTTAGACAGCTACTGTGTCTAAAGGACATGGTTAGTTTTAAGTTCTAAAATTTACTTTTAAAATCTCATTTTAAAACCTAATTCAGCATAAAAAGAAACATTTAAAATGCTTTAGATCCTTTGCAAACCAAAAAGGTCTTGAGCAGTAGTGTGCAATCCTATAAGGCTGCTGCTTGTGATACTTTTCTATCTCAAAGGAAGGTGTGTCAGGGTCCTAAAAACAGTCTCTCTTTAGTTGAAGTGACATTTATAGGAATTAATTTTACAAAAGTCATATTTCTAGTATTCTACACAATCTGCTCTTACTCTTAACAATCCTTCAACTAGAAATATATTAGTTAGCAGTCACCTTTTACCATTTCACTACTTCGATCTTCCAACTTTCCATAAATCATAAAGCGTGCACAGTGCTAAATTGGTTGCTGTAGGGAAGAATGCCTCGTCCATTTGGAGGAGAGTGTTTGTCAGACTAAATGAAATTAAACATTCAAAGCTGCATATTCCCCAGAATGCACAGGGAATCTCCCACTAATGTCTGTAGGCTTGTATAGAGATCTAGAGGAGTATGCAGTAATGAAACTTGATATAGAGTGAAAGCTTTTATTGCATTTGATAAGGAAAAACTGCTCTGTGTTTCTCTCTGGTCTTCCCTCCCAGCTTCTGCCTTTTGGGGGTTTGCTTTTACAATGTTAACTGTTCTATGACTGACTGTTTTAGCTCTTGGATTGGCGACTGTTGGCACTGAAATGGGGTGGGGTTTTTTGCACTTTAGGATTGAACTCCCCTCCCTTATCCTATGAGATAATTAAATGATAACTCATATTTGAGTTAATTTCAGGTTCCTGGTAGCCTCAAGCAGAAGACGTTTTATATTCATGTATGCTTAGTTCAGATTTAAAACTCCATCTGTTGCAGTCATAATGGCTAGAAATATTACCGGAAGGTTAGTTTATGCACAAGTCTGCTCTAGTAGCTCTATGCTGGCCTCTTCTAAACTGGATCTAGGGCTGCTTTAATTCTTAAGTGTTTAGGTGAGGATTTTGTATGGGTTTTTTGCATGTTCTACAAGGAGGATTTTCTTAGGTATGATTTAGGGACCTACCAAATTCATGATTCATGATTTTTGTAGAAACTGACTTGGGTCCCTACAAAAAAGCATGGGAACCATAAAAAAACAAGGAAACGGGGGAAGGGAGCTGCAAACAGAGGTGGGAAGCCCTGGCATCCTGAAGCATGGTAGGGAGGGGGTACCATTTTCATGGCAGAGCATAGCTGGGGCCCCCAGAAATCCCGCCATCTGTCAACCTCTGAGGGGGGGTGAGACTTCCGAGGCCCCTTGGTCAATCAGTGGGGAAGGGGTGCTGTGTTCTGCTGCAGAAATGGTGCTGGATGTTGTCCCATGATCATGAAATATGGAGGTAGCCTCCCTCAATTAGGTAGGTCCCAAGGTATCTCCACTTTCTTTAAGACCATTTGCAGTGTTTCTTTCTTTTTCCTTCCCCCCACAGGCTCTGCATTTCCTTTTAGTGACTTGTATGTTGCATGGCATTAGTGTATTTTTGTTATCTTCATGTAAATATTTCTATTTCAGGAAAATAAAGAAAATGCTGAGAGCTCTCCAGGGAACCAATCAAGCAGAACTTTGGAAAAAAGCACGGCATCTTTAAATGACATAGATGTGAAGGCTACTACTATATTAACAGAATCTAGTGCAAGGGCAAACTGCAGTTCTGAAGATCTTAGTCCAGCTGTTAATGCTTCCAAAAATGAAGCTGTTGAAACCCAAACCCAACTGATGTCATTTAGCCAATCCTTCCTGCACAAAAGAAGCATCAAAGAGAAGAAACTGATTGCGGAAAAGCAGATATCTGATGCCAGCCTTCCAAAGAAACCTGTGCTTGGTTCCTATCGTGGCAAGATTATCCCATCCAAGATAAACTCCTTCTGGAAAACACAAGGTGATACAGATGGAAGGAGTTCTTCAGCAAACAAAAAGCCTGTGGTTGTCTCCCAACTAAAAGTGAGACCATCACTTCCAAGCAGTAGTAGTGCAGTCATGAAAACTGTCAAAGCAACAAACTCAGCTAGTGCAGTGAAGTTGAAAGGTACTACCTCCTTCCAGACCAGGCCACCTGCAAAGGCTTCTATTAGCCATTCACAGTCCACCCAGAACAAGGAAAAACCAACATCTAGTAGTGTGGTAGGAAGTACTGTGACTGTCCAAAGAAAGCCTAGTAGAAGTGTGACACTGCCATTAAAGACAGATTTTCCAAGTGCTAAAACTCTTTTTGTGGCTGGGGCAAAGAAAACTGAAGCTTCATCCAAAGATGTAAGATCAGGTGCTTCAGCCAAATCTGTTTCTTTGACTTGTGGTGCCAGTTCCACTCAAGATAAAAAAGCTGTTGGCAACAAACTTATTCTGCCAAAGGAGTCAGCTGAAGACAGAAGGTAATGTAATTAATAAAAGATTAAGGTTTCTCTGATTGCAATAGGCAGGTCTAAAGAGATTTGAATGGCAGTGTCTGTTGTTGTAGGTGCACTATCACACATCTTCACATCTTGATCACTTGGAATCTATTTCTTTCAAATACTACACTGAAAGCTAAGAAGTTGATGCAGTTGATTTTGAATTCAGCTCTTTTGGCCATCAGCTTGTCCTGCTTTGGGACTATAAATGGGTAGTTCTTCCTGCAACATCACAAAGGCATGTAGTATCAGTGCGTCTTTAAGCTCTTTTGGGTGGTGGTGATCTTGCTAAGCATGGCACTGATGTGTATTTAATCAAATTACATATGTGTGTGTAAAATAATAGGTTAGTGTAAGATGTATATAGAAGTGAAAGTAACGTTTGTAATAAACTAAGTATTTTAAGATGGGAGTGATAGGGGGTCAACAGCATGGCTAAATTCACTAGTGGAATAGTATCTTTCCATTCTAAGTGAAAGACTTTTTTTTTTTTTTTTTTTACTTAGATAATTGGTGATAGGCCTTACTGGATAATTGTTTGTGTGGTAGCCTACGTGCAATGGGTTGGTATTCTTGATGCTGTATCTAGTGGACATTGCCAGTTTGGAATACTGTATAGATAGTCCCAGCATAAAAACAGTTGAAGTGGCTATCATTCAGATTTGACATGGCTCTGGAAGTTCTTTCCAGATACTGCCAATGTATCCTGCTATAGGGAGCATCTGTTGCTGTTGCCTGTACTTTGCCTGTTCTGAGGCTTGGGGGATTCAGTATTCAGACTGTCTAGTACAGGAGATGTCAACCCAGGGTATGCTTACCCCCAGGGTTACTTGGAAAGGGGCTAGGGGGTGCAGGCAGGCAGGGATGGACGGAACGCCGCCACCCACAACCCTATGCCGCTGCTTCGCAGGAGCAGGGCTGGGGGGGAAGGGGGAGGGCAGCAGCTCCCCTTTGCGGGTGGCACTGGCCAGCTGGATGCAGGGAGATGGGGGGGTAGAACTTGTATGCAGTGGTGGCTGCTGCTGCCATCCAGCACCCAGTGCTGCTGCTGCCACTGCATGCAAATCTTCCCCCCTTGCCTCTCCTGCTCCGTGTCCAGCCACTGCCACCCCTTCCCCTAGTCTGCTAGAAATGTACCCAGAAGGGGTATCTCCTTAAAAAGGGTTGAAAACCCCTGGTCTAATATTTATGACAAGTACTAAACGCCACACTTTTTCTCTAAACCTTCAGGGCCCCTCCAGTAATTTAGAAGTAGTTCCTTTGCACTATACAGAAAAAGAGGCTGCTTGGTGGTGTTCTTGTGTTTTTGGTTTTTTCTGTCTCTCTTCAGTCTTATGCTTCTGCTGGGACAGACAAGATGGGCATGTATTGGGTTACTCAAACTCTCTAGCAGCTGAAGTAGTGTCCAGGGATTCAAAGTTCCTACCTATGCTTATAGGGTGGTTATAGATGTACATCTTGAGGATTAGTGAAGGTGAACAAAGGGTCCTATAAAGATTCTTTTCTTGTCTATCCCCAAAGTATTCCTTTGTGTAAACTACTTTGACTGGCCCTAATTTTTGTGTTTATTAAGTGCTACTCTAATTGTACTTCAATGCAGAATTCGTCTAGCTGAATGGAGGGCATCCAAAGGAAAAGCATTTAAGAAGCCACTTCCTACTGCTGTGCCAATTACCAAACCTGAGGACAGTACATTACACACAACCCCCCAAAAACATGTTGAATCTTTTTGGACTACAATAGAAGAGGAGGATGAGGAAGGAATAATCAGTGAAAAAGTCACCAAGACTCTTGCAGAGTGTCTCCATTCAACAGAACAGGTACCAATTCTGTGACATGAAGTTCCTAATTCTTTAGACCATTAGAGCCTGGGGATCTGATTGATTTAAAGGGAAATCCAATACCTTGAGGATTCATGTGATCCAGATCTACATAACCATCCACTGAATTATGAAGCAAAGCTTGCACTAAAATTTCATGACCTCCTTTTACACAAAGTTCGTGTCGGGAGGAAGGAATTAAATATGTAGTCACTTCATTGCTTTGTTAGCTTACTTTTTGCTAAAAAAATGCCTATAACTTTTATGGATTGTTAGTTATATTCTGCCAAAGGATTTTCCTACAGTGATTCTGTAGGAGATGGATAGGATTCAACTAATAAAGAAGAGTAACTCAATTTATATTTCAACGTATAGACAAAAGCTTAATTTGTTGGAACTTGGTACATGTCTTAAGATGTTAATCTTAATACACTACCAAAGTTTAACAGTATAAATATATTTATCAGCTTTATCAGGATCACTCTTGAAAAACATAAGCAAACAGGTTTTCTGGAACAAATATATTCCTGTTTTTTTGGAGAATGGGTTCATTTGAGACTAAATCTTCTTTGCTATTTTATGTTCCCTGTTAGGGGTGTCCACGGGATAAAATACATGCCACTCTGGAGAATCTAATTCAGTGTGTTCCAAAGGCAAAAAAAATTGCTAAGTATTGGGTGTGTCAGATGCGTCTTGAACAGACAGGTCCCATTGAGAAGATCATTGCTGTTTACGAGGAGGCTATTTTGGCAGGAGCAGAGGTGAGGAACATAATTTTGTGGTGTTGTGGAAATGGGTGAAAAGGAAAGATGAACTTCGAATTTACTTGGAGCAGAGCTTCCATATATTAACGCTAGTTGACTTTAGCAGAGTGGTAATCCAATCACACTGACTTGACCTGAGCTCCTGATTTTTGCATTTGCTAGTCTGCATGTGCACTGCAACTTTAGTAAATACTCAAATACTGCTCTTAAGAGGGGAGGGAAATGATTGCATGTCATTGACATGTAATGTTCAGCCTAGGGGAAATTTCTGACTGAAACTAGTAACAGAGTTCTATTTCTTGATGCTTTTTAGTCTCCCCTCCTGCTCCCCCCTGACACAAATTGCATAGCTTTTGATGTTACTCAGAGTTGTCTATCACAAGTCATTGATTTTTTTTTTATATTAACAAAAAATTACCCTTTTAGAACACAACTTCAGAATGCAAAAATTTAGGTTGCAGTAGCAATAATTATGCTATTACATTGTACAGGATACATCAAAAGCAATAGAACAGTTAATGTTGGTTCAAGCCTCATTTGTAGTATACAGGAGTAAAACTTCATTTTGTGCTATTATGGGATCAACTCTATACACTACAAAACATGTACATCAGGACAAAAATATTTTTTTAAAATAACATTAAAATAGGCTATCATAAACGTTTATTTTTTGTGCATAATTTGTTTTCTTCTGGTTCCAAAATGGCAAATCCCCTTCCTAAAAGGGAGTACTTCCGGAGGCAAGGGGCAGGACTTCCAATCCCAAGGTAGTGACCAGGGGACAGGGCACCTGCTAAAGGACTCTTGCGGCCCTCCACAGCTCAAAAACAATTGTTAAATGGCCCTCCAGTCAAAATAATTGCCTGCCCCTCATTTACAATATATTGGGAGTCTGCAGTGTGTTTAAATGGAAACTATACTAATGCATTTCTGTTCCTTGTTGGAATTTGCTCTCTGGAGTTAACAGAAGCAATTTTTCCCAGCCTAAACAGGAGTTACGGAGTACAGTAGCAGATATTATGAAGAATTCTGAGAGTCTTTCCAAGTCACAGCCTGGTAAGTTTGGTTCCCTTACCACCCTCCCAATTCATCTTAAAATACCTGTCTTAAAAAAATTACCCTGCATTATTCAAGCAAAAGTTGCATTCATCAGTCATATGTCAAGAAAACTTGTTTTGGCAATCAATTTTAATGCCTAAACCCCATCTCAACTGCTAGCATTTTACAAAGGCTGACAAGTAACACCTGTCAGTTCTTCTCACCTTTTATTCTGCAGTAACTATCAGTATTGTCTGACCTCTTTAGCACCTAATGTTTTAATAAGGTTAAAGGCTAAAGTCAGTTCTTTGGGTTATAGATACTCAAGGGTGCAAAAGTAGCAGCAACCATCTCGGAGTCGCTGTTGAGAAAATACCTTTGATCTACTATACGAATTATCTACTCTTCATAAAATATTGAGTGCCTAGAATACAAGATACCACACTGAGGGCCTTGTTACACCTTATGCTGTGAGCTGAACAAATGTTGATTGGCTTTATTGCTAGTTTGGAGTAGTCATATCCTTTAGTCTAGACCTCCCTGCTCACCAGGCCTAATGGCAAGTCACAGCTATGCAGGGACAGCTGCCTGCTGGGAGCAGCCCGGGCTTCTGGCTGGCAGCAGCTACCCAGAGGCTGCAGCCAGGAGGCTCCAAACAGCTGTGCCGGGCTCTGGTGTGTGCACTCGCGCATCAGAATGGTCAGTGGGGGAAGAACCTGAGGCAGCGCAGCTCTGGTCTCTCCCCTGCTGCTGGCATGGAGCTAGTGACTGGGTTCTGGAGCCCAGTGCAGCTGTTTGCAGCCAGCCTGGGCTCTGGGGAGCTGCAGCAAGCAGCAGGCAGGCTGCAAACAGCTGCGCTGGGCTTCACAGCTCCGGCATCAGCTCCATGCTGGCGGCAACAGCATGGGCACCTCAGGGTGGGCTGCGCTGCCCCGCTGTCCACTGAGGTGCATGCATAGTCACCACCAGCATGGAGCTGATGCCGGAGCTGTGGAGCCCAGTGCAGCTGTTTGCAGCCTGCCCACTGCTTGCTGCCACTGCCCAGAGCCCAGGCTAGCTTTAAACAGCTGCACCGGGCTCTGGAACCCTGCTATAACCTCCGTGCCGGGAGCAGGGGAGAGACTGGGGCTGCGCTGCCTCAGACCCCTTTCCTACCGCCCGCTCCAAAGCGCGGGTGCACACACTGGTACGGAGCTGATGCCGGAGCCCAGCACAGCTGTTTGGAGCCTCCTGGCTGCAGCTGGCCCCAGCTCTGGGTAGCTGCTGCCAGCCAGGAGCCCGGACTGCTCCCAGCAGTCAGGTGGGACGCTGCAAGCCCTGCTGGGAGCAGCCCGGGCTCAATCGCTGGCAGCAGCTGCCCAGAGCCGGGGCTGGCCATGGCGTGCCAAGCAAAATGGCCTCGCGTGCCATGCTCAGCATGTGTGCCAGGGGTTGCTGACCCCTGGCCTAGAGGCTCCAAATTCTGCAGGTGGCCATGGCCCAAGCACCTGATAGTCCAGTGGGCCAGATAAAGATATGGCCCACACTGCCATTCTGACACCCCTGTTCTACGGTATATGAAATTGAGCATTTAGAATTGTAGTCACTTTTGAAAAATGTAGGCCATCGCTGTCTGAGGAGACTTGGCATGCTTGTAGGCAAGTGCTCTTTGCGGGATGGATTACAGTGAAACTACATCAGTGAAACAATTCAATTAATTCGGTTTCCTTGGCCATGCTGTTAGAAGCTTTAGGATTTCAAAGACTAGCTTTAGAAGGGCTTATTTATGGGTCCAACTGCCATACTCTTGATTTCTAACGCCACCTCCCCACCCCTTCCCACCATATTGCACACTACTGCTGTTGTTTACTGGATCTTTAGTTGTGATTTAATCATGACCTGCATTTTTATTCTGATACGCTTTTTCAGAGATGTGTGTGAAGGAGGAAGTTGATTTAAATGATGATAGAGATGAAATTAACAATGAAGCTAACTCTTCTATTGGGAAGGTAGAGGAGACCTTCCAAATGCTCAACCTGAATGATGAAGAAAAGCCAGAAGTGACAAATGAAGTGAAAAAAGAAGAAAAAATTGTTTTGGTTTCAGAGATGAATGGAGAATACTCATCTAAAGAAGACAAACACAGTAATAAAGAAAAAAGAAAGAAAACGGTAAAATATAAAGATGACCAGGATAATAATGATGCAGTAATGGTGCTGCCATCAGAATCTAGGACTCCAGACAAGGAAAATGAAGCATCTTATGTAATTAAATACAGTGTGTCAACTACTCCACACTTAGAGAGGTAAGATGATTTATGGTAAGTTTGGGACATGAATATGTGGCATGTTTATGCTCCCTCCAGCAACCTCAGGATCTTCATGAAACTTGCAAGCAGTTATCTGGTCTTAGCTGCTTGTACAAGGCGGTGTTACAGCATCCTTCTCCTGTGTGGTGGAGAGCATATAATAGACTGTTCTATCAATTGGCCAATGGGTAACCTGAGATGGAAACAGATGATGCACCTGTAACCAGTGTAGATTTACTGCAGACTTTTCCCAGAATTAACTTGCCCTGAACTTTTATACCAGTACAGCTATTAAGAAAGCTGGGGAGAACCTTGGGAAGAAGCAACATGGGTGGCTTTTTTTTCCTGGCCTAGCTACTTTTTCCTCTGAGTGAGTTAGCCTATTCTGTCCTTGGACAAAATGAATTTGGAGCATAAGTCTATGGAAGCATGTGTAAAACTGTCGGTTGGGGGAGGAAGTGGAGGAATGCTTTCTTTCCTTCTGTTGGGAGGATTGGATTATGTAAAGCGGGGAACATTGCTTTCTATTTCAGTTGGTTTGGGGACTTTCAGTTGGATAGTGCCATGCAGCAGCAGTTTTAACACTGAACAGATGTGTCTACATGTTGCCATATGACAACATGGCTACAGCACTGTGCTTTCTTTTGGAAGTTGTATAGTCCAGTGCAATAACTGCCTGTACTGCACCATGCATGCGGTGGACAGTTAGATTTTGCCACTATGTTGTCATAGCAACACACTACAATGGGGGAGTGCGCTGCTACGGTGATGTAGCTGCTGATCACATGTAGACTCACATGACTGCTACATCACTCTAGCATGACAAAACATGTCGGTACAGAAACGTGGGGCAATGTGTAGATGTTCCCAATATGTCTCAAAACGCATCTCTGACAATGCTTGCTTTTTTGTGTGTGTGTTCTGTTTCTTAACACTTAGAGAGAAGAGAAAGATGCAGTGTGCAGCAACTGGCTCTGCGGTTAAAGATCTAAGATTCCTGACTCCTGTGCGGCGTTCTCGACGCCTTCAGGAAATGAGCAAGCTAAATATGTTTAAGGATCATGATCCCATGGTTTCTTCACTTGAACAGCTGAAAGAATTGGGATCCCAAAGCAATGCCTTTATCTTCAGAAAAAACAGTGCACTATAATCTACTCCGGGAATAGTAAAAGTAGCAATAACTTTACAAAGAAGGCACTTGCCCTCTTTAAGAGAAGCTTTGACTCCTTGCTCATTTGTGTAGCTGATGTAATATGAAATTTGCAAAGCTGGTTTAATTATCTAAAGGCTGTAGTCAAGCTTTTAAACTAATAATGTGTGTATACTCTCTCAAGCTGTTGTGGTTTAAAAAAAAAAAGTTTGGTCTGTTTTGGTATTGTAAATTATTCAGGTCTTGTTTAAACACATGGAACTACAAATTAAGGAATAGGTTAGCATACTCAGTTATCTCCCTTGTTCCTATAATGAGTTGTTAGGACTACCCATTGCTTTACATTGGTGAATCCCCATAAGACAAGTGTGTTGCATGCAATTTTAGATTATTCAATTTTTTAAAAGTGTTCCTGTATAAAGATGAAATATCTAAATATCTAAAAGATGGTCAATAGGAAAGTCAAGTCAACCTGTCTGTTTTGTGTTGGGCTTTTTTGTTTTGTGGCTTTCGTGTATGTTGTGGCATTTTGTTTCTGTGTGGGTTTGTCTTCTTTGGTTTTTAGTATTTGTTTTCAAAGAAAAACAAACTTTCTACAAGTGGTACTAATGGAAGCTTTTCTATTTTAAGAAGCTGACATAGCAAGGGACTTTTAATTCCATTGTCTAGGAAACTACTTAAGGCTTCAATGTTTTGTGCTTTGCATGGGGCCCCTATACACTAATTTTCTGTATTTAATGTTTTAATATAGACTTGTATTAATCTGTTCCATGGTAGAGGTTTCTATTAAACTGATCAATTTGAGTTACAGTTGCTTTATTTGTATTATTTATAGGTTAAAGCTTGGTAGTTGTTAGTAGTTATGACTATCCAATTTCCAAAATT